TCTCTCTCTCTCTCTCTCTCTCTCTCTCTCTCTCTCTCTCTCTCTCTCTCTCTCTCTCTCTCTCTCTCTCTCTCTCTCTCTCTCTCTTGCTCCTCCTCGGTTAGCTCTCTTCCTCACATGTACTCGAATGGACTCAGGGAGCTGCAAAACACTAACAATTATGCAAGTCATCCATCAGCTGCCGCAGAGACGAGCGATGCACTGATACCGAAACATGTCATACAAACGAGACACGAACATTCGAGCTTTCCCCTTCCATGCTGGAGGACAGAAAAGGACGGAGAGAAGCAGCGCAAGTTTGAAGGCATGACGGGCAGAGCATTGTTAGCTTTCCCTTTATATGCCATACATACAAACGACACCCAATCACACAAGCTTCCCAACCACAGGGTACTTGGACCTGAACTTAGCCTCCCACTCATTCAGTTTGGCAACCTGCTCCCTATTCAGGTCACTGAGGACACTGCTTTCCAAATCAGGTTTCTCCAAGGACATCCTCCCGAGAGCGCGAGAAGCATCCTTCCCGACAAGACAGTGATAATTGCCACCCTTTCCATAAAAATTGGGAGCGCTTGTGACGTCATAAATATTACCCTTCACTGCAACCAACAGTGGCTTACTTGAATCACTGCCGTTATAAGCAGCGAGTTGAGATCGTGTCAGATTCCCTACAGGCGCCATGTTCTGCAAGGAGCATCACAACAGCGCCGACCAATCAGTACACCTATACATCAGCTGTTCTGATTCTGTGCTCAACTTGGTGAAAAACTTGGCACAGCAGAGTCACACTGTAATCGTCCAAACAGACGAACACTTCATTTCGACCCAAGATGAGGTCAGATACAGTCACGCCAAACACAACTATCCCACCACTACAGTTCTGCATGCCATCTTTCACACAAATCTCTCTCTCTCTCTCTCTCTCACACACACACACACACACACACACACACACACACACACACACACACTTACACACACAGACACATGATTTGATGAAAGTCCGACGAAACAGGCTGGCAGAGTCAGGCTACTATGTGGCACTATCGGTTAAGAGGGGGCGGGCCAAATGTTTTCTTTTCGGGTGTTTGTTAATATTGTGTCTACTCTTATGAATCAGTGGCAAGTTTGTTTGGTTGAACCGCCAGTGCATGAGGGCTTGGAGGCGCTGCATTGCGAGCCAAGCTTTTCTGGACCACCAGCGGCGTACTTCTTTTCTTTATTGGTTGGCACCGCCAGCCATTGGGGTCCGGTAGGCCCGAGCCGGAGAATTTTCGCAGTAGGTGATGAACATTCCTCCACAGGGCTGGGGCTGTGTACTTGCAGTTTAACAAGTCCCTTGAGTTATCTTATAAGCCAGCATTCAAGAAACACTGAAATTTGGGCCTCTGTTAACTGCCCCTCCTACCAGTGGTTGGGCCTGGCAGTGGCTGCCATATCCGTACATGCTCCTCCTGTGTAAGTGATAAATGTTAGAAGATTAAGACAAAAACGTTTTCCCTGTCAAAAAAACATTCGGGCAAAAATGACTTAGATGCCATGCATACCGCTGCCACAACCTGGCCCAACCCTCACACTGGTCCAATATGGTCCAATAGTCCAGAAGCGTGGTCCCCACAATGGTCCAAGAGTCCAGGAGGGTGGTCCTCACAATGGTCCAATAGTCCAGAAGCGTCGTCCCCACAATGGTCCAATAGTCCAGGATTGTGGTCCTCGCAATGGCGCAATAGTCGAGGAGCATGGTCCTCACAATCGTCCAATAGTCCAGGAGCGTGGTCCCCACAATGGTCCAATAGTCCAGGAGCGTGGTCCCCACAATAGTCCAACAGTCCAGGAGCGTGCTCCCATTAGCAGTGGGATACGAGTATGGCCGATCCAGTTGTGACGATGTGTGGCAGTGGCACGACAGGTTCGTGACAAAATTTAGGGCTGAGAAAACAGGAGAAATGCACCCAAAGGAAAAAGGGACACAGAGGGCCCATACCCAGAAATCGTGGCGAAGTGCTTCCCAGCCATCAGATCACAAATGACCCGATTGCCGAGGTTGCGACAACAGTGAAAAGAATTTACTGCCACCTTTCTCAGGACGAAACGAGACTTTCGTCAGAGGTGATAACGGCGCCCTCCATTCAATCTGTGATTAAAGGAGGGCTTCGGGCAAATGGGATCATCGCACTGCGGGAAACTAAGAGGTGAAAATCTTCCATCCAGTGGGCCTGTGGACGATCTGGCCTCTCTTGGGATTGGCCATACCCCCATTAGATAGAAAAGGAAAAAAAGGTGGGAAGGTCCCTTTGCACTGCCATGCCGGGTGTTAATGACACCACGAGGGGAACTAAGATCTCTTTTCTTTTATGGTAAAAAATACAGATTTGAGTCGCTCAACTGAGATTTCTTTCCCTTTACGGTAAAAATACACGTAAAACACTGACCGAGCGATCACTACTCATCGCCGGGCAGGATTTGGGTCGATCAACTGCCACACAAACTTTTCTCTATCGCCGGGCAAGATTTCGGTCGATCTACTGCTGCACAAATTCTTTTTTATCCTATCCTGTTGCTAGTGGGGACCTCTCTCCAGGAGTGCGAATTCCACTAGCGTCTTCACCCGAATAGAACGCCCAGTCCTTATTGGCTGTATTTTGCACAACTTTCAGCCCAGATACGGGGATAATTACCAGGCGTTCTATTCGGGTGAAAACGGTAGCACACGGAATATACTAGGAAGTTGTTGTCAACAGCCATGTGACATGGTGTGTGAGTTTACAATGGATGGCTGGTTATTTGGGGGGGAGGGGGAAAGGTGTGTGAGGAATCTGAGGATGTACTCACATTAGCTCTATCTTCAATGTATCTGACCACATTTACGGCCATACGGGGATGGATATGACCGCAATTCCGTCCACAATTAAGTAAAAACGTCCTAGTCTGGATGTACATACTCACATTAGCTCTATCGTAAACCACCAGTACCTCGCCCAGCTATTTTTCTCCGATGCGGCCGTTAATGCGCCACGTCGGACGGGGGTTGGGCACTGAACGACCGGTACCAAGAAGAAAAACAAAAGTCGAGAAAAAAAAAAAGAAGAACAAAAAAAAAATAGAAAGTGCAAAAAAAAAAGAGAATGAAAACGAACGGGAAAAACGGGCACCGCAGGGAGGGTGGGGAAGAAAGAGAGAGAGAGAGAGAGAGAGACTCTCTCTCTCTCTCCACGCGACCCAAAACGGGCATCTTTGTTTTTCTTTTTTTTGGGGGGGGGCAGAAGAATGTCGACACTTTTTTTTTTTTTTGTCTTTTTTTTTCTTCCGATGTGTGCCTACCGGTAGCTCGAGGCTCGGCAAGGTTCGGGAGACCGGTAGGCTGAGCCACGGGCGTTAACAACCGCTAGGTACTGGTGGTTTAGATGTATCTGACCACATTTACGGCCATACCTGGACGGATATGACCGGAACTACGTCCACAACTAAGCAAAAAAGGTCCTAGTGTGGATGTATGTGACCACAAATACATCCACAACTAAGTAAAAGAAGTCCTAGTGTGTATATGCTGTGACTCTATTACACAATAAACAGGGGTACTGTGGCCCTTTTCTAGTTCTGAAGTTCGGTGAGCTCCTTTTGTCCTGTTTTTTTCCCCCTTTTCCTTTGTTTATGACGTCATAGTTTGTCACTGTTCCTAGACCAAAGGGCAACTTTCATCCACTGCTTTTGACGAGGCCCGTAACATAACCTGCTTGGGATCGTTCCAAAAATAGAAAGAATTCAACGACGAATGGAACGGCCAGCAAAACTATATGCTGAAGAGACAAACGACAAAAGGAAATAAAAGTTAAAAAGTTAAAACAACACCTACTCTCAAGCCGCAGGAAAAAAACAGGCCCGCATGACCAAAAGCTGTTACGAGATGGGGGTCGGGGAAGACGAGAAGGGAGGCACAGGTACTGGCAAATGCTCAGTCCTTTTATAGCCGAGCCACCACCAGCGGCCCCAACCCTGCACCCTACACCAATCGGGCAAGGGGCAAACATGCAAGACCTCCCTCCACCCGAGAGGGGTAACCTTCCTTCACCAAGAGAGGTAGATAGCTATGCTTAGAGGGGTTCCCTGTGTAACCTTGGGGGTAGTGGTAGGTAGGTAGTGACAGATGAAAGACTCTGAGAGAAGAATACAGTGTAGTTGCAAAAACAGAAGCAGAATTCCTCCCCCTCCTCCTCTTCTTCCTCCTCCTCCCCTTCTTCCTCCTCCTCATCTTCTTCCTCCTCCTCTTCTTCCTCCTCCTCATCTTCTTCCTCCTCCTCCTCTTCCTCCTCTTCTTCCTGATATCGAGGACAACTCCTAACCATCCATTTTGTGTTCTTGATGCTCCTGATCTTGTCATCCTATGGGATTGGAACACCATACTTACAGACGGCCCTAGCTCCCTTGGTACGCCCTCATGGACTGTTGAAATACAGACCTGAGTTCGAATCCAATCGAGATGGCGCTAAATGAATGAAATTCCTGAGGACTATCCCAACCAGCCATTTTGTGTTCTTGATGCTCCAGATCTTGTAATACTATGAGTTGGAATGCTGTGCTTAACAACGGCCCTAGCTCCGTTGGTGCTCCGTTGGTGCTCCGTTGGTACACACCCGTGGACCGTTAAAATACAGACCCTGAGTTTGAACCCAATCCAGATGGCACTAGATGATCGCAATTCCAAATTAGCTGGGGCCGGTTAGTTCGACTAGGATCAACTAACCCCTTCCTCTAACAATCATCTGCTGAGGGCATACTCAAACTAGCGGTTTCCTAAAGTAATCTGACTGCAATTACAGCCTGACAGTGATCAACCTGACTGCAATCGCGTCCAGAGCATAGCAGGTGTCGCATGCCCAATGGTGCAGACCAGAACCAAGAACCGACCTCTCAAAGATGCGAGCAATGATAGCACAGCGGAAGACTGAAACACCAACAATCGGGCCCAATCAATGTTGTAACACAGACTGAACATCATCATCATCATCATCATCATCATCACACCGTATGAGTGGCCTGGCGCCAGAACACAAGGACGAAGGCGCCAGGCACAGTCCATACGCGGATGAGGAGGAGGATGAAGAAACGAAGAGGGGAAGAACAGGGGGGATGTCATCAACCCAAAACGTCGTAGATACCGACCCCAAAATAGTCCTCCACAGTGTCGCTGCTCAAATGTCAAGTCTGAATCTCAACGTCGTCAAGTCCCTAGGTCGCAAATCTCTCTCTCTCTCTCTCTCTCTCTCTCTCTCTCTCTCTCTCTCTCTCTCTCTCTCTCTGATACCAAGTACTGACCTGCACAAGATGTTGTCTTGATGCAGTTAAGGACGTGCTGAAGACGAAGCTGGAGCGATGGGGCCCACAGGTCAGGTAAGTTCTCTGACCTCCGCCATAACCCAGTCTCTCTCTCTCTTCTCTGCTGCAGTGAACTGCAGCTGCCCTGTGCTCGCGCTGAAGCCCTATCTCCCTACCGCACCAATGTCTGTGCGAATGCCTACCGAACTGATGGGTAGACCAGCTATATATAACGCTGGTCCCGAAGTCTGGCCTCGAATCTGGCACCTTAACTAGTGCCCATCAATGCGAAACTCGGCCTGCCTCTGAAACAACTGGCACCAAAACTGAATGGCGCCCCAAACGAAAACCAGGGCCTGGCGCCAGACCTGCACTGGCCTAACTGGGCCTCCAAAACGAGGCCAGTCCTAGACTGGACCGGTAATAGGCCTGTACGAGCCTATGAATCCTACAGGCCCTAAAATGGGCCGAAACCACACTGGTCCTAAACGGACCCGACAACCCCCTAACCAACCCCTGATCTACTTGGGTGTGTGGAACTCAGAATGCCACACCCATCCATCCTTGAAAGACCAAGCTTACTGGCAAGGGCGAAGCTGCTGTGGAACTCAGAATGCCACACCCATCCATCCTTGAAAGACCAAGCTTACCGGCAAGGGCGAAGCTGCCTTCAGAAGGAAGGGACCTGAGTCCGGGTGGGAGGGGCAGGTTGTGAAGCTTCCTGAGCTAGTCTTTGTCGTTCGTTGTGGGTGTAAATTAGCGGTGTGGATGCTTGCAAGTCTGTACGCGAAATCCACCGTGTTGTCCAGGTGGCACCACTGAAATGTGACCTTATACTGCCTCGGCTTGTTATCGTACTTGCAGTATGTGATGATGCGATTGATCTCCTGATAACCATCCATAGACGGAGGGTCCTGCGATCATCGGCCCAGGAAGTTGTCGCGCTTGGTTGGTGTATAAGTAGCCAGCTTAGAAGTGTGAAAAGCCAGGTGGACCGGTAGATGCGGTAGGATGTCGATCACAAATGATGGGCCATCGAGCTCGTCGCCCGTGGCTGATTTGACGGTCCAAGGTCCAAACCACTTGGGGAGTAGCTTGCGCAAAACGTTTTGTCCGAGTGCAAACCTTTCCGGCCACCGTGGTGCAACTCGAATGAGTCACACCGATCGCCGGATGCAACGAACGGAGCATCATTTGAGCGGTTTGATATCCCCACTCCGTTTGCCCGTCCATTTGTTGATGCTGAGCCAAACTCGGTTTCATCTCGGTGTCGAACTCGTTCACAAGAGAAGTCAAAAATGCCGACATGAAGCGAGTGTCACGGTCGTTGACAATATCTTTCGGAACATCGTGGCTGCACATCCAGCCGATGTGCATCGTGCGAGCTCGGGAACCGTGGCGTGATACTTGCAAGGAAGGAATCGCGCATACTTACTCAAACGGTGAACGACTATGAGAATGTTATCGTGTCGTGAGAATGTCGTCGTGCCCGAAACAATCACGGGGGAATGGGCCGGTGACGCCCATAACAATGGAGAGGCCGAGTTCCTCAGGAATAGGCAACGGGCACAACTCGCCATAGGGGTTGCAGTTGCAGGGTTTGCTTTGTCGACAAACTGCGCAAGATTCGCAATACCGGGTGACAACGGTAATGAGGTCGGCCCACCGGAATCGTTGTCGAAGTCTTGTGATTGTACGATTGACTCCGAAGTGGCCGGCGAGGCGCGAGTCATGGTACTCGCCAAGGTGTGTCCATAATCGACGGTCTCATGGGACGCATAGTAAGTCCTTGATGCGACAGTGGCTCGCCGGCGGGTGATCCGAAGAAAGTTGCTCACATAGAGTGGAATATTCCGGATCGAACTTGTATGCGCGCACAAAATTCTCATGAAGCTCGTCGTCAAAATCGAATTTATGATGAATCACTGCACAAAGATCCGATCTTCGCGAGAGAGCATTCATGGCTCGGTTTGAGAGATCCAAAATGCGCTTCCGATCTTCGCAAAAGAGCATCCGTGGCTCAGTTTGAAAGACCCAAAATGCGCTTCCATGTGAAAATCGAATTGGTCGATGAAGTACACCCACCGAGCGATCGTGCTACTCACCGTCTCTTGCGTCTTGTAGTAGGTCAATGGGTTGTTATCCGTCGCCCAAATGAACCTACAATGCCCGAGGAGGAAGTGTCACCAACACTCAAATACCGTGACAAACGCGAGCAACTCCTTCTGCGCATCATCAACCACATTGATGGGAGCCACGTTTTGGCTGAAGTACTCAACCAGATGGCAATCTACTCCGTCGTGTTGTTCAGAAACTGCACCAATGTCGTAGGCGGAAGCGTCCGTGGTCACTCTCGTTGGCAAGGTGGGAGTGTAGATACTCAACACGGGAGAGAGAAGCAACGCCGTCTTCAATTTTTGGAACGAACTCCGGAATTCATCAAGTGGAAGGGCACCTTTGGGGACTGCAATTTCGACAAAGGTGCGGCGATCTGTGCGTATCCGCCAATGAAGCGTTGGTAGTACCCGGCCAATCCCATGAAAGAACAAGCTTCCGTAGTGTTGGTCTGTTCCGGCCAATCCTGAATGGCCTTGATCTTGTCCGCGAGCGGACGAATGCCTTGCGGCGTCACAAAGTGGCCCAAGTTCTCGAGCTCTTGTTGCACGAATTCGCACTTGGCTCGGTTGGCCTGTACTTGGCCGTATGTAACCTATCCAGAACGGCGCGTCAATGCGCGAGGTGCTCATCCAAAGTTCGACTACACACCAAGATGTCATCGAGGTGAATGAGCACAAACCGGTCTAGCACGTCACGGAATTCCATCGTCATTGTCGCTTGGAAGGTAGATGGGGCATTCCTAAGGCCGAATGGCATTACGACCCACTCGAAGTGCCCGTACTTCCATCACTGGCTGGTCGGGAGAAGGGCGGGCGTGCAAGAAGCAAATCCCCACTTCGTGCACGTAGGATTCAATTCTTACCTGTGCAGCAACCATTAGTGAGGTCGTACATTGCTTGGTGGTTGCGTCGACGCCCTGTGTGGTCGGGTGTGAGTTTGAGATTGTGACTGGGTACAGTGGGACGCGGAGAAATTCGTGTTGGGGTGCAGTTAAGTACTCATCTTGGGCCTTAACTTTCACCCCAATCAGCTTAGCCGCTTGGTTGAGCATCCTACTCCTATTTGGGAGGTCGCGTGATCTATTCTTGGGATCCGCTCATGCACATAAGATTCCATTCGATGTGATTCTTCTTTCTTCTTCTTCTTCTTCCTCTTCTTCTTCCTCTTCTTCTTCTTCTTGGACGACACAAACACGGAGGTGGATGTCCGGAACAGGAACTGGGGGTAGGCGGTTTGGGGGTAGCTGGTTACGTCGGAGAACAAGACTGATGGCCCTTTAGCTCAATTGGAGGAAGGCTTGGTGGTGCGCCCTGGGGAGGTTCGCGAGAAGGGCCCTGAGGAGCGTTCGGCCAATGTTTGTCTCACTTGTACATGCAGAAGGATTCAGAAAGCTCGTGATGCATGTGAGGAAAGCAGTTCGGCCAATGTTTGTCACTGGTGTTCTTCTTCCTTCTGTTAAATGGAATGCGAGTGTGTGAGACAGCTGTTCTTCTTCACTCTTCTTCTTCGTCTTTTTCTTCTTCTTTTACGTAGAATGTGTGTGTGAGAGAGCTGTTCTTCTTCACTCTTCTTCCTCGTCTTCTTCTTCTTTAACGTGGGAGCGTGTACAAGAGACAGTTTCGCCTCTGTTTGGCCCCTTGCACCAGACTCGGGTGGACCAATGGAGGGTGCAAAGGGGTATGCGCCTGCTTGTCGAGACCTGCTGTAAATCTGGCGGGAAAAAAAAAAAGATAAATAAATAAATCAACAAAACGGCGCAAAAAAACTTCTGCACCTCCTTCGGGGCATAAGTTAAAATTGGAGCGATACAGAGAGAGAAGATAAGCATGGCCCCTGCGCAAGGATGTCACGCATAAATGGAGAAACGGTCCAAATTATTATTAAAAAAAAAAAAAAACTATATCACATCGATTCTCGATAAGGGGCAATCTTGCAATCCAAATTTCAGCCCAGACACACT